GGGGTCCTCCATGAATCAGGCTGAGGCATCACTAAGTGCACCCCTCGTCCCAGGGTTTCCTTCAGCTCCTCCAGAGCCAGCTCAGGCTGCCAAAGAGAAAGTCCCCATCCAGGGTGATGGACGGGAGAGGTGGGGAGAAGGGCAAGGCAAGGCCCTTAAGCTTCCCACCCCAGTCCCACTTCCAGTGAGGTAGCCAGGCAGACATGTATCCAGCCTGGGTGAGGGCACAGGATACAGGAAAGGAATGAGGCGTGAGTGCTGGCAGTGCCAGGGAGCATCAGGCCTGGCTGTGAGAAGTCCCAGCTGGCATCCTGGGGGGAGCAGAGTGGCGCAGCGGAAGCGTGCTGGGCCCATAACCCAGAGGTCGATGGATCGAAACCATCCTCTGCTAATGGCATTTTTAATTTTTTTTTTCTTTCTTGGCTTTCCAGCAGCAGAGTAGCTACCTCTCCCTTGCATCTTTCCCAGCAAGCTTTAACATGAACTGCTCCTGCTCTCTGCGCACCCATGGCCATGGCCCTCCTGAGCTCCCACTCCCTTCTCTCTGCCACTCACCTTATTCTTCCATTGCCTTCTTAGCAGACAGCGCTCCCAAAGCGTCCCTCAGCGAGACAGACAGCTGCGTGTGGAGCAGCAGGCAGAGCTCCCCACACGAGGAAGTGGGTGTCCTGGGCACGCAGTTGTGTTTCTCCCTTCCAATCAGGCTGCTCAATCTCAACTTCCCAGCTGCCAGCAGGGACCTCCAGGAATCTGCTAGTGGGGAGGAGGACACGGCTGGAGTTAGTTTTGAATACACTGGTGTGATCAACTTGAGCACCAGGGCACTTTCTCCATCCTAGTCTGTTTGCTGCTGTGCCCACTCGCAGGGCCAGCCAGGAGCAGGGCTGAGCAGGTATTCCCAATGGGCTCATTGGTGGCAGTATAAGGGTAGGTGTTGGGGCGGAACGTAGAGAAAGGAGTGAGCAACGGGGTGGGTGAGCATCTGTGCTTCTACCAACACAGGTACATACACATGACCACACATACACTTGCATAGTACATGCAGAACTGGCACGTGTTTGTCTGCAGATGGGGAGCAGCACCATTACCAGCACCCACAGAAGCACCAGCACCACTCACACAGGCATGGACAAGAGAGACGGTCTGATCCTTTTCTTTGCCCCCAGCTGCTTAGGGTTGGAGATCAGGGATGGACACAGATCCCCTCCCTCCCACATGCACAACAGTAGGTCCCTGGGATCCCTGCCCTTATCATAGCTCTGTGCAGTGTCCATGCCCAGAGCTCTGTCCCGGTTTCTCCAGTGTCATTCTCTAAACCTGGCCAGTCCCTGATGCTGATATCTCCTAGCCAGTGGCTAGTCCAGCTTCAGGTTTCCTAGCCAACACCTGACAAACTCTGAAAACTCCCAGCGCCAACCACCTTGAGGTCATCTGTGAGTGCAGGCGGCTGGACAGTCTGGGAAGTAGAGGAGCAGGAGGCAACAGGGCACCAGGAGCATTGGTGGTAGGTGGTAGAGCGTAGATGCCTTCCAAGCAGTTGACCTGGGTTCCAGTCCTGGACAGCGTAGACAAATTTTTCTTCAGCTGGTCTCCACAAGTGCCTTGCCTCCCCTGCGCGAAAAATCCTACTTCACTCAGCAAACTCAGTTCCCATGGGGCAGTCGAGACACTACCCTCGACTCCCCCAGAGCCTTTCATCACAGAGAGGCCTGTGGACACAACCTAACCCAGAACACAAAAGCCTCCCTTGGCAAAAGGAGGTGACAGAGACTGCTTTCACCATTCACAGATTCTCAGGGATTGATGAAGCACTGGAGCAGGTGCCCAGAGGCCTTTGGAAGTCTCTATGCCTGGGTATCACACTCAGGTTTCAGTGAGGCTCAGGCACTGCTCCGCCCGCCCTGGCTTTGGGGCCAGCCCTGCTTTGAGCAAGCATTTGGGCCAGTGATCTTCCAAGGTACCTTGCAGTCTAGAGCCTGCCATGAAACAACAAGCCCCAGAGAGAGCTGTGCCCTCCTTCCTCTGCACCATGGGCAGTAAGGGAGCCTCTTGCCCACAGCAACTGGAGCTCAGTCATTGCTCTGCACTTGGCACATCTCCTGTCCTTTCTCCTTGACTCTCCAGCCCCTCTCCCACACAGCGACTCCTTGAGACCAGCACAGCATTGCCCCAGGGACTGGTGTGGCAGAGCCCTCTTTCACCAGCCTTCCCAGCTATGTGCAGGGAAGAAGGAAGCCCCCTTGATGCCCCAGGAAGTGTCCACGAGGCAGCACCCACAAAATCCTCTCTTCCTGCTCCCACTTTGCCCTCCAACAATCCTTCTGCTTGGAAGGCAGGCCAGGGAGTCTGAGACTGCATACTTCTTCTTCAATAGGCTCACACCAGCAGAGCATTGCTTCTCCCTCTGGGTCATAAAATACCCCGAGGACAGTCATTTTACAGCTTCTCTGATTCTCTGTTCCCATCCATAGGCACCCTCAGAGTAATGATTTTTTTTCCTGTAGCCAGTTACAAACTGCCTGGTCAATTTCTGACCACAGCTCTCATCGTCCAGCCACCACAGTAGCCTCCTTGTAGGCACTGGGAGGCTCCTATCAGATCCCTCCTAAGCATTTCCTTCTCCCTGCTAAGCAAGCCCTGTGTCCTCAGGCCTCCCTCACAAGGCCAGAGTCCCTGGCGCCTGTCTAGCCTAGGGAACCTCCACGGAACTTGCTCCAATTTATCATCACTTTTACATAGTTCCCTACATAGACCTTCTTCCCCTTTTCTGGAAAAGAGGACAACTTTTCCTTCTCATTAGTCTTCAGGGAGCTACCCTGCCCTCTGATCCCAAAGCTGAAGAGCCCCTGAGATGCATCCTTCTCTCTTTCGGATGCAGTGGCACAGACGGTAGGTGCCAATCCAGGACGTGGCATTGACTAGCAGGGTTTCAAGCCAGACAGTTTCCCTGAATTGGCAGTTCCTCACCTGCAAACACAACCAGCATCAGTGGGAAGAGGGGCAGGCGTGATTAAAGGCCCACCAGTATGAGGCCAAGAGGGACATTGCAGGCTCTGGGGCCTTGTGTTCAGGCTGAAGGGTGTGCTCCAAGGCCTAGCATGCATTTCCATTTCGTCTCCCCCGACACTGGGGCATTTCTCTCCAACACTGCTGACAGGACAGAGAAACTCCATGCTGGTGCACATTGTGATTGAGGGAGATGCTGAAGGAGCTGGGTTTGTTTAGCCTGGAGAGCAGAAGGTGAGGGGTCTTCCGCTGTGTGAAGGTGGCTCTCTGGCTTGCCAAGGCCTGCCCACTGCAAGAAAGACCTCGGGAGTGCAGGAACTGGGTGTGGCCTGGCCTTCTGTGTGAGCCAGCCTGGCCTGAGCTGCATCTCCCAAGGGCTGGGGAGCTCTGGGAGATCTCTGCCTGCCCACTGAAGCCTCTAAGGTTGGCACAGATTGTCCTCCTCGCCGGATCCTGCAGGGAAGAGTAGCATCAGAGGCTACATAGGTAGCAGCATTTACCATGGCCTTGGGGAAGGAAACGGGCTGGGGAGCACGTTAGTCCCAGCAGGCAACGCTGCCAGGAAGGAAACCAAGGACAAAATGCCATGAAGCTGCCTGCACAAGCCCATACAGCTGTTCATACAGAACCCCACCAGGATCCTTGAGTTCTGGGTGAGACCAGTGAGCCTCAGCAGAACCGCAGGAACATCCTCTGTTGCTTGGAGATCCACTGTCTGACCCCAGAAGAGACATGTCCCCTCCAATGGCATTACAGCAAATGTACAGAAAAAAGCTTTCCCTTTCCCTGAGCCACAGCCCCTGGAAGGGTGTTTCCTCCACCTTTTTACAAGGCCTTCAGACACTGGGCCCTGCTCTCGCTGGTCTCCTTCGGGCCTTCTCTGGTCAGATATTGGACATCTCTGAAGATGGAGACTCTACAGTACTCCCTGGGCAAAGCTTTCCCATGTTTGGCCAGCCTCACGGTAAGACAGGGCTCCTGTGTGTGGCACTACTTTTATTTCCACTCCTGTCCATTGATTCTTGATCTCTCCATTCTACGGATGCTTTTCTATCTCTCTTTTGCCAGCTTCTTTCATTTAGGTGCTCTTCTACAAGATCAGGGAGCTCCACCCACAACTGGTGGTGCCCCAAGATTGGCGACAGACTCACCGTCACTGCACAGAAAAGGTTCTCCCTTTCCCTTGCAGAGGACTTGGCCAAACGGCGAAGGAGCAGAAAAAAAACAAGCCATAAGTCTCCAGCTATGATGCACAAAACCTTTAATGAGAAGGAGGAAATGCAGTGGCACAGAACAGAGACCAAGAAACACATCTGCAGGATTGAGGGACGCACAGAGGATGGCCCAGTTCCCCAAGGACAAGCTGCATACAAAGCGCTTGCCTTTTCCCATTCTGCTCTCCCTGGTGGCAACGGCAGCCCACCATGAGCGATCCCTAACTCCAGCACCCTCTCCCTTTCAGCAGCGGATTCAGCAAAGCAGAAGAGAATAAGACCTTTCCGAAGAGCTCAGAGCAAAGCAGAGCCAGAGGAGACATGGCCACACCAGCCGTGCAGCGAGGAGAAGTGGGCACTGGTCCCTCCTGCCAGGTGGCATGAGGACACCCAGCCTGTCTGCAAGCCATGGTCACTGCTCCTGCTGCTGCAGGGTCCAGTCTTCCATCCTGCTCCCTGAGGGGATGATCCACCAGCTTCAGCAGTTCAGACTGCAGCGGGGGAGCGGCAGACACATCCCGGACCCGCCCAGACCAAGGGAGCCCCCAGAAGAGATGGGAACTCCACTGGCACTGAGGGAGCTCCCAACAGCAGCTGACAGAGACGATCCCACAGCGGTGCTCTGAGGGAAAGAGGTGAGGATGGGGCCCGGCAGGGTCACCACCACCGGCGAGGGTTCGATGAACACCGTCGAGTCAGCGCAGCGGGCAACACAGGGCTCACTGCAGCTGCTTGCAAGTGGGGTTGGGCCAGAGGCACAGCAGGGCCGTGGGGGACAGGGTCTGAAGCAAGACATCTCTCGGTGAAGGAAGCAAAGCTGCAACACAGAGCAGGAAGGAAACACAGACCAAAACATCAACTTGGCTCTCATGTCCACAGCTCTCTCTGCAGATACACTTGGCTGCTCTCCATCCCCATTCGATCCCCACATGCAGAAAATGCCTGCACCTGATCTTTCTAACACACACAACGTGCGTGACGTATTCCCCTAAGTTTGGATTTGAAGCACTGGGAGCAAAGATGTGCCTAACTGGCTGCTGATTGCACCAGGACCTCCTACTCCATTTCCCAGTACAATAGCACAGATGAAGATTGATGCAAGTATCCCAGCACAAATGGGCTGCGTTGAATGGGTGTCTCAGAAATCACCTCTTAAACACACACAGTCTTCCTACAGCTCGTAATGCACTACTCTGAGTTTCACAGTGCAGGAACGCTGACCCACTTTGGGATAGGATCAAGCACAGTGGGTTTAAAGCACCTGAGCATTACCCATGTCCAGAACAACAGTTGTTGCATTGATGAAGCACTTGGCCATTTGATTAGAGAGCATCTGCTGCAGGCGTAAGTTCTGGTGAGGCAGACACCCCTACAGCTGAACCCCATTGATACCCTTCTGCTTGAAAGAACACCCTCTTCCCATTTCTCTGCAGCCACGTCCAGCAAAAGGGACAGAGGTGACAGCCCTTCAACTGTTCAATTGCAGGGACAACCTGAGGTAGAGAAATATCATCCTGAGTGGCCACCATGGCAGCAGTTCAACCCACGGAGAGAGACATGGAGCAGACCCAGACTTACCTCGTTCCTCGAGGAAAGGGAAGCAAGAGAGGAGGATGCAGAGCCTGGAGCAGCGCAGGCTTTTATGCTGTGTCCCAGAGCCCTGTGGGGCCACAAACATTCCTTGCTCATGAAGCATCTGAACACCTAGGAGTTTCCGCTTCCCAAGGCTTCCCTGGTGATTAAGCCCTCGCTTCTTACAACCCACATATTTTCCTCGTTTTCATACCATCGAACATCAAAATCATTCATCTGTATCCCAGGTTCATAAAGTCAATTACCTCTGAATTCTTACGCAGGATAGACAGATATTTTTAGTTGACTTGCCTCATACAAATTCCTTTGGTCTCATTGCCCTCTTCGTGGTTAACTTGTCCACGTGTCATGGTGAAATTCAACCATACAGGGCACCTCAAGTCTTCTCTCAAATGCTTTCTTTGCAGGCACTCAGTCTAAAACCTGTGGGACAATTCTCTTCCTGGGTGATCGTAGACACACAGGAGGCAGTGGGTAAGTTCAGGCAAAAATTCAAGACTGCACAATCCCATATGGGAGGAGAGACGCACCACTCCAGGGACGTGGCAAAGCTCAATGGCAAGGAAAGACCACTGTGAGGTGGAGGGAAGCCCCCTGTGGGCAGGGGTGATGATGGCCACAGGGACCTTGTTTACGCTCATCAGGCTCTACCACAGACTGGTTTTGTGATCAAAGGCTTGCCCGCGTCCTTCCCTGAAGGAGACCCACACTCAAATTGACACGTTTGGCTCTGTAAGATCATCCCAGAGGACGGAGGTGTGGCTTGCCTGATTAGGAGGAGAGGTGAACGGCAGGGAATGAAAACCTCATGGCCCTTTTTCCTGATTCAGAGAGGGGGTGGCCAATGCCATGCATTTCACGCTACAAAGGCACATTGGATGAGTCTCAGAGCACCTGGGAGTCATCATGATGTGGAAGAGTTGGGAAAATCCCAGAGCCGCTGTCAAGCAGGACTCACCCTGCTGTGGACTTCAATGCACATGGTCGCCCAGCCTCAGTTGTGCCAGGGATACCAGACCTCATAGTCCCAATTTGCGGCTTTCTGCAAGGAAAAACATTTTAGCACCATTTCTGAATCAACTGGTGCTTCTGTGCAAACTCGTGCAGCTTCTGCCTTCTAAGGCATTGCCTGCCAGTGGCTGCTCAGGGACCCACGAGAGTGAGTGCAGCCCAGAATGATGTGGGATGGATGGTTCTTCTGGAATGGCTCTGGGACAACCTCCTGCTCTGAGCAGACCAAGCTTAATGTTAAGTTAATCAAGGGATATGGCGATGGAGATCCCATGGAGACATTACCTGAAAGAGACCTGCCTGATCCTCTGGTCTGCTCCCTGTCGTTACAAATGTGCCTTCATTCCCTGGACACGTGGTCATAAAAAACAGGCTGTGGCAGAGCCTTTTGAGCGTGAGGAAGGTCCTCATGGCCCTCACTCCTACATGCAATGGGCTTTGCTCCAGCCCACAATGATCCTTTCTTGTCATTGAGCTTTTCCATATCCCTGAATTGGTGAGTCTCTTCTCTTGTATAGGATTGGGTAGTCTTGATCTTCCACCTCAACTTCTCAAGTCTCTACTATGTGTCTACTATGACGCTTGGGCAGATGTCTCTTAGGGTTCGCTTGAGTGCCAGCACTGAAAACACTTCAGAGATGACTCGAGGTGTCCATCTTCGTAGCTGATTTTCAGCATGATTGGTGGACAAGCTCACCATGAAGAGGGCAAAGTGACAAAGGCAATCCGTATGACACAACGTCACCTAAAATCTTCCTCCAGGCTGCCCCGAGACCTTGGAGTTGATTGCGCTTATGAATCTGGGATACAGAGATACAGATGGATCATTTCAATATTAGGAAACATCACACTCACCAGGCCCTGATCTGATAGGAGAACTCAACCTCCAGGACATCTGCTGGCGAAGCGGCACAGCGAACTACAAGCAACCCAGGGAACTACTGGAGTGTGTTGAGGACAACGTCCAAGTACATGTGACGCAGAGCCTGACCAGAGGAGAGGCACTGGTGGACGTGTTGTTTACTAGAGTGCAAGAGCAATCAGAGAGGTCAAGATTGGAGGTAGCCTGTGCTGCAGCAGTCACGCCCTGGTGGATTTCTCAGTTTTGAGGAGTGCAGGACAGGTAATAAGTAGAGTCAGGAACCTAAACCTTAGAAAGGCAAACGGTTGCCCGTTTAGGACACTAGTGCATGGGATCCCTCGGGAAACTACCCTCAGAGGTATAGGAGCAAACCAGAGCTGGGAGATACCGAAAGACATTTTTCTGAGGGAGCAAGAGCTCTCAATCCCGACATGCAAGAAGTCGGGCAGGGAAGGCAGGAGGCCAGCTTGGTAACATCAAGACCTCTCAGAAAAATAAAACACAAAACCAAAAGGAATAGGCAGCAGAGGCAGGGATAGACATTGTGGGGAGATTATAGGCAAATGGCCTTGAAGTGCAAGGAGGATATCGGGAAGTCCAAGGCATTTCTGGAGCTGAACTTGGCTAGCGGTGTGAAAAGTAACAAGAAGGGTTTCTTCAGTTACATAGGAGAACAAAGGAAGAGGAAAGAACCTGTACCTCGTCAATGAGTGAAATGGTGAGACACTGAAACAGGATGTCCAGAGCAGTTGTGGATGCCCCCTCCCTGGAAGTGATTAATGCCAAATTAGATGAAGCTTTGAGTAACCTGGTCCAGTGGAAGGTGTCCGTGCCCATGGTAGGAGAGTCAGAATTACATGTTCTGAAAGGTCCCTTCCAGCCCAAAGTGATCCATAACTCGCTCTTTGATGCTAGTTGGAATCAAGTCAGAGAAAAGAATTTCAGATGAAAGAGGTAAAGGTTTAATCACCAGCAAGGTCTTCCCAAGTGGCAGCTGCTACGTGTTTACATGCCTCATGAGCAAGGAATGTTTGTGGCCCCACAGGGCTCTGGGACACAGCATAAAAGCCTGCGCTGCTCCAGGCTCTGCATCCTCCTCTCTTGCTTCCCTTTCCTCGAGGAACGAGGTAAGTCTGGGTCTGCTCCATGTCTCTCTCTGTACGCAGAATTGCTGCCATGGTGGCGTCTCAGGTTGATATTTCTCCGCGTCACCTTGGCAGTGCAATCGAACAGTTGAAGGGCTGTCACCTCTGTCCCTTTTGCTGGATTTGGCTGCAGAAAAATGGGACGAGGGAGTTCTTTCAAGCAGAAGGGTATCAATGGGACTCAGCTGTAGGGGTGTCTGCCTCACCAGAATTTGCACCCGCAGCAGATGCTCTCTAACTTAATGGCCAAGTCCTTCATCAATGGAACAACAGTTGTTCTGGAGATGGGGTATGCTCAGGTGCTTTAAACCGACTGGGCTTGGTCCTATCCCAAAGTGGGTCAGCGTTCCTGCACTGTGCAACTCAGAGGAGTGCATTACGAGCTGTAGGAAGACTGTGTGTGTTTAAGAGGTGATTTCTGAGACACCCATTCAACGCAGCCCATTTATGCTGAGAAACTTGCATCAGTCTTCGTCTGTGCTATTCTACTGGGAAATGCTACAGGAGGTCCTGGTGCAATCAGCAGCCAGTTAGGCACATCTTTGCTCCCAGTGCTTCAAATCCAACATAGGGTGATACGTCACGCACGTTGTGTGTGTTAGAAAGATCAGGTGCAGGCATTTCCTGCACCTGCAGCTAGAAATGGAGATGGAGAGCAGCCAAGTGTATCTGCAGAGAGAGCTGTGGACATGAGAGCCAAGTTGATGTTTTGGTCTGTGTTTCCTTCCTGCTCTGTGTTGCAGCTTTGCTTCCTTCACCGAGAGATGTCTTGCTTCAGACCCTGTCCCCCACGGCCCTGCTGTGCCTCTGGCCCAACCCCACTTGCAAGCAGCTGCAGTGAGCCCTGTGTCGCCCGCTGCGCTGACTCGACGGTGTTCATTGAACCCTCGCCGGTGGTGGTGACCCTGCCGGGCCCCATCCTCAACTCTTTCCCTCAGAGCACCGCTGTGGGATCGTCTCTGTCAGCTGCTGTTGGGAGCTCCCTCAGTGCCAGTGGAGTTCCCATCTCTTCTGGGGGCTCCCTTGGTCTGGGCGGGTCCGGGATGTGTCTGCCGCTCCCCCGCTGCAGTCTGAACTGCTGAAGCTGGCGAATCATCCCTTCGGGAGCAGGACGGAAGACGGGACCCTGCAGCAGCAGGTCGTGGACATGTCTTGCAGACAGGCTGGGTGTCCTCATGCCACCTGGCAGGAGGGACCTGTGCCCACTTCTCCTCGCTGCACGGCTGGCGTGGCCGTGTCTCCTCTGGCTCTCCTTTGCTCTGAGCCCTCCGGAAAGGGCTCCTTTTCTTCTGCTTTGCTGAACCCGCTGCTGAAAGGGAGAGGGTGCTGGAGTTAGGGACCGCTCTTGCTGGGCTGCCATTGCCACCAGGGAGAGCGGAATGGGAAAAGGCAAGCGCTTTGTATGCAGCTTGTCCTTGGGGAACGGGCCATCCTCTGTGCGTCCCTCAATCCTGCAGATGTTTTCCTTGGTCTCTGTCCTGTGCCACTGCATTTCCCCCCTTCTCATTAAAGCCTTTGTGCAGCAAAGTAGAGAGTCATGGCAGTTTGTTCTTCTCCTCTCCCAGCTAAGCATCTTCTCTGCAAGGGAAAGGCAATGGCTTCTGTCCTGAGCTTAACAGTGGTTGTTGGTTAAGTTCCCTGGACTCATTTCAGAGCACTAAAAAGCCTCGTAGGTATTGAATATGGGCCTGTAACCTGGTGATTATGGCCCTGGGGGTCATTTGCGGAATTCTCTATTGTAAAATTTAATACGTATATTTTGAAATAGCATTTCAGGTTCTCTCAATTGTTGTTCACAAAATCGTATGAAAAACAGACCTGGCAATTCTCTCTTTTACTATTTTGGTGTGGAAATAAACACCAGGGGATGGGTATGGAGTGGAAAGGAGGAAAGCACTGGTTGTGATCTCCAGACGGAGGCAGTGTGACTGCCAGATGAGGTTCGTGTGGGCATTTCAGCAGAGAATGAACATACACATTCACGATGCCCCTCT